GTCATCACGTCGTAACACAGAACAACCAATGACCAGACTCAACAGGAGGCATACACAGGTGGGTGGGGCTGCAAGCGTGGCAAGGCGTGTGTGGGTGGGCAGGACTGCGTGCATGGGCGGGGCTGCAAGCACAGCGGGAGCGCGGGTGGGTGGGGCCACATGATTTCTCGTGCTGGGCTTCTAGTAGTTAATAATATTCTAATAACTATGTATGGTGTCAGATGGGTACGAGATTTATCAGGATGATCACTTAGTAAGTTATATAATGTCTAATCACTGGAGTGTGCACCTGAAACTAATATAATATTATATGTTAACTATAATTGAGAAATTAAAAAATGATTTTTAAAAAAGACAATACACCAAAAGAAGCACAAATAATAAAAGACTAATTAATTTGACACTAAAATTAAAAACTTGTTTTTATAAAAAAATACCATAAAACAAAATGAAAAATATGCCTCACACTGAGAGAAAATATTTGTAACACACATAACTGACAAAAAAGAAGCACAAATCAATAAGAAAAAGAAAAACAATTCAATAGAAAAATATGCCAGGTAATTCACAGAAGACAAATTCTAAATGGCCAATAAACTTATGACAGATGTTTTATCCTCACAAGTAATCAGGAAAATGCAAATTAAAACTACAGTTGATGAATGTATTTCACACTCATCAGATGGGCAAAATGTAAACATCTAACAATTCCAAGGTTGATGAGGATGTGGACAACCAGGATCTCATATGCCTGCTGTTGAGAGTGTAAACTGATACACCAGTTTGAAGAACCATCTGGCAACAGATGGCCAAGTTGTGCATAACTGTATGTGGCAGCCCTGGCAATTAAAGGTAGGTGAACTCAAACCCACAACACAGCAAGTCCACCCCTAAGCATGTGAGCTGAAAAGACTCCATGTATGTGCATGAGGAAACATGTAAAGAATGTTCTAGAAGCATGATTTGTACTGGCAAAAAAAATGGAAGCTCCTTGTATGTCCATCAACAGGAGACTAGATAAAGGGTAGAAAAATCTACAACTTGAGAAATACTGGGGGAAATCCATTTAAATCAACACAGATTTACCTCACAACATGGAGTAATACAAATTGCAGGAGAATGCAAGCAGGGTGATACAGTTATGTAAGGCTTAAAAACACACAAAATGATACCACATAGCATTTAGTGATAAAAACGCATGTGGTCAAAATAGAAGAAATGCATGAAAAATAAATTTGTGTTAGATAATATTTTGAGGGAGAAAAAGACAACCTGATAATGTCTGTCCATTAAGATGCTAACTTTCAACTTTTCTGCTCTCTGCCATTTAGAAAACATTAAGGAATCTACCATCCATCCTTGTCCTCACATGTGCCAAAATGCCCTTGTATCATAGCAATTAGGTAATGTGAGGAAAGTGATTTGAAAATGAAAAATTGTACCTAAAAACTAAGTAAGTAATGCTATTAGGTGCACTTAGAGTGAGCTAGAACAAGACCACTCTCTGTCAGTTGCCAACAGGTAGATCTGAAGCAGGGTAAAAACTGGGCCATGTCTAACTAGGAATTCTTATCATTCTCTGGGCTTTTACTTTATGAGTCATGTGACTTGGGAAAACACCCTGCCTTGAACTTCCTTTGATGTTCTCTTATTTGAGAGAGTGTATTTTCAGTTGCATTTCTTATTTTGAAGTTGGAGTCCCATTCTCTGAGACCACCACGGGGCTCTCTATATTCTGAACAACTACTATTTAAAAGAGGAAAGATAGAAACAACTCTCTTCCATTTTTAAAAATCAAAGTGCATCTAATTCATCACTGGTAAGCAATTTTTAAAACAATGCAATTCATTTAATGATTTTACAAAATGCTGATTAGATCCATGTTCATGATACAAACGGACCTTCCCCTTCCGTCATGCCTCAGGACAAGCTGCAGGGAGAAACCTCTTTTATTCAAACCTAGGCAGCCAGCTTGCAGCTGGTTTCAACTGCTTTGAACGCAGCGAGGAGGCTGGCAGGAAAGGCGGGTGTTCCCGCTAACTCAGTGGTGCACCATCTTTTTGTCCGGAGGACTGATTTAGACACAGCCAAGTGGAACAACATACAAGCAAGACACTAAATCTGATTCCAAACCTAGTCCCTATCAATTATGAAGGCTCCCTGAGGAAACGGCCTGGCATCCGTATTCTAAATTCTCTGGCACAGCGCCATTAATTAGCACAGCAATTAGGGATGTCGCTATCAGTTCAAACTGTTTTGTATCTTCTCCTGGCCGTGGTCAGACAAAGGTGGCAAAACACAGTTCAATGTAATAAAGAATCCGTAGTTTTTATTGTTGGCTGTTGAATGCTCACTCTTTCAACAGCTGCACCTCCATTCTGTGGTTTTCAATGATACTGACTACAGGAGAAGGCAATTATTTGGGACCAAAAAAAAAGGAAAATTCCCTGAGATTTAAGACATTTATATCTTGCCACTATTGCCTGAAATCTCTGTACCTACTTTGCAAGCATTTCAGGATGTAATTATTTTTCCATTAAAATGTGACACAGAACCCCTCAGACAAGATGAAAATATTTTCTACCTCAAAGCGTTAAATAAGAAGTCGGAACCTTATCCTAAAGCACTAAGCTAATACTCTTATGTCGGAAACTGAGTTTTTCCTTTGACATTTCAGTTTTATAGATATTCTATCCTTAGCTTCAGTGAAACATTATTAGCCTGCGTGCTCAAGTATTTCTTTTCTTAATTGTACATTTTGTCCTCACACTGAGAAGAAAATCAGCAAAAAATAGTTCTTGAGGAGTTCTAAGGATATCAATTCATGCTGCTGGGGTAAAAAAAATATCAAATGAAAGCAGCCAATGTTTACTTGCTCCTGAGAGAGTAAGTCTTGCAGACCAAAGGAGCATAGTCACTAGGAAGCCATTGTCCCTATATTGGACTCCAGCCCCCCTCACTCCTCCCTGCTTCCTCCCTTCTCCTCATATATTAAGTTTTTTGAGAGTCAAGCCTATAATTAGTCTTAATTCTACAGTCTCCAATGCCTAAGGCAATTTTAAAGCACATAAAAGATAAATAATTGTTGATTGATTGACACATGAAGTCTACAATTTAAATAAACTGGCCAAAGTAAATATGTTTTCTCAGCTATTCTTCTAAAGAATGTCCACTTAGTTACAATGAATTTTGATTCAAAAGCTATGAAATTACATGATCCAAGCTAGATAGCAAAGATCCATACTATTTTTCACATATAAAACTTTTCTTTAACCATTTCCTAATTGCAGTGACTTAGAGGCTAAACTCTAAAGTTGGATTCTTCATGTTTTAAACAGGATTCTCTACTGTTGATACTAAACTAAGTTCCAATGTTCTCTTGTCAGTAGATAAGAAAACTAAAGATAAGAAAGCATACATCGTAAACAAAATGAGCGATGAATTCACATGGCCCAAGAGAAAAGTTCTTTGTCCTTCAACTTAACAGACAAATACTCATGAGCAATTTACTTCACCAACAGGGTTGCTTTTTGAAAGGTTTAAATGAAAGAGTGACAGGGTTTAGAGTGAGAACTTGACATTCTTCCCCTGAGCATAAAAGTGATACTTAAACAATTATTCATGTTCAGAAAAAAAATCTCAATTTTAAAACCATGCTTGGTACATCCCCAACCTTTTCAAAAACAGATTTCTATTAGCTACTTCTCTGTATTATCCATATTAATTTAAGGTCATTGGGGCTCAAATAATACACTAAACTTCAGGAAACCTACCACAAGTAGATTTTAAGAACTATGACTGTATTATCATAGTCTATCTAGTCTTTGGTTTATGTATTAAAATATCATGCTTGTTTGGAAGCAGCTTCAATAGCCCCTTACAGTTTCTAGTACTGTGATTTTTGTTTCCATTTTATGAAAATGTAACACACAATTGTGTGCCTGTCACACACAGTTGATGACCAAAAATAAATAATTAAATAACATATTTGGTTTTTTCCACTATTAATATCCTGCCATAATTAAAGGATGGGTAGAAGGTACCAAAGACATGGTATGATTTATACTGAAGGAAAATGCGCGATCAATAGTTTTTCCTATGAAATATTATTATTGTGGGTCATGCATTAAAGAATCACCAACCTCCTAAAACCCAAAAAGTATAAAACTACCATAAGCGCCAACGGCTGGGTCCATTTTGACTATTCTTCAAAGCAAATTAGAACTAGACCTACAATGCAGCCAATGAGAGTGTGAGTTTCCATTCCTCTCCGTGGGCATTATTTAGTGTAGCAATTTAGTGATGAGAAAATTACCATAGTCCTCAGTTTCTGGACCCAAGGAGATATTAGAGTGGACGTCGCACATCTGGATCTTGACCATCGGATGCAAATTTCGTAAAAATGAGGCATATTGTGAAACTAAGAAACTCATTGGTGACTAGGTTTGTGAAAGTTCTGGCTTTCTCTAGTTTCTGTTTTATAACTAATCCTATCACACACAGAAATGTCACTTAAGATCAGAGAAACTCAGTCACTATATCAAAAAAGAGAAAAAGGTAGAAAAGGTAATTAAGAAGTTTCCATTTTGAAGGCAGTCAAACTAATATATTTCCCGTGAGAGCATAAAGGAAACAAAGGAGTGGTTTTGAGGGGATTTGTTAAATCCTTTTATTAAGCATCTTGAAGCGACTAGATGAGACCAGGTAGGATCAGAGTAGTGTCGAAGTTAAATGGATTTTGTGGCAATTTTCTCCCTTCTCTTGAGATGTTTTGAGTGCACAGTTCACCTGAATTAATTATATGAGGCATAATTTAGAAGGAAATAAAAGAAAGGGTCCTGCCAGTATGCAAGGAATAGCAAAGAGTCCAGGACAAAATCTCCAGAGAACTAATTACTGGTGTCTAAATTTGAACATTTTGTGTGAAACATTTTCATCAAAGAATATAAACGAAGAAGTTGAAGCTGATCGTTTCATTCATTACTACGGAAATGCAGTACCTTGCCTGACCCACTCTCCACGATGAAGTTTGTGCTCTAACGTATAGCAACACTTGTGATATCCAGAAAGCAGTTCTGCCCAGTTAATGGTCACAGTGGCTTCTTCATTTTCACATGCACTAGCGGGACGCTCAAACAGGGAAATCAAGGCTGTCGTGAAAACAATGGCTTGAACCTTGAGAGGAATATTGAAAGAGAAACAAACATGGGCAGAGAAGTTGTTGCAAGAAAAAAAATCTACATTCTTTAACATTAAAAAATTGATATTGAATCAATAGGAAGTTCTTCAATATTATTTAAAAGATGCAAGCAGTTATATTAAAAGACAGAACAACTACAATGTTAGTAAGGCAATTACCAAGGGCGGTTCATTTACTTTTATGATACACTCATCATTAATAACAGTAAGAATAAAAATCTTTGACAATTATAAAAGGAAATTGTTCAAATTAGACTACTTAAGAGTTCACAGCCATATTCTAGTGTCATTCAGTAGATAATAATTTTACAGAGATCGGGTGGAATTTGATAGGAAGTCAGAAATCATTGCCTCCCTGTCTGGGTGTCTGTGCTGCCTCTTTAATGCATCTATCCTTTGTTAAATGTAGAGGAAATGATCACTTTCCAGGAGGCTGGTACTGAGAAGCCTGAAACCTTATGAATAAAAATCAGAATAAGGAATTTGAAAGAGTTATGAGAGATAACTTTAGTCATTTGATATTAAGTGTTTATTAATATTGGAATCTAAAAGATTATAAGCATCTAGACCAGGTGGTGTTGCTCAATGGCTGGGCATTGATTCCTGGTCGGGGCACATGCCCAGGTTGTGGGCTCAATCCCCAGTGTGGGGCATGCAGGAGGCAGCCAATCAATGATTCTCTCTCATCATTGATGTTTCTATCTCTCTCTCCCTCTCTGAAATCAATAACAATATATTTTTTAAGATTATAAGCATCCTATGGTGAAAAAAGAAAAAAAAATTCTAAATATGAAAATTGAGATTATACATAGTCAAGAAAACCCACAATGGAGATTGCTTGTTATAAGCAAGAAGAGAGGCCTTGGCTGGTGTGGCTTAGTTGGTTGGAGTGTCATCTGATACATCAAAAGGTGGCAGGTTCCATTCTCAGTCAGGATACAGACCCAGGTTGCAGGTTTAATTCCTGGTCGGGGCATAGGCGGGAAGCAACTGATAGATGTCTCTCTCTCTCTCTCTCTCTCTCTCTCTCTCTCTCTCGTCAATCAATAAATAAAAACTTAAAATAAAAAAAGAAGAGAAATTGTGATGACCTAATCCATTTTTTTCCATGTCCATCGTGTGTGGTCTTATAATCTATAACGCAGTTCAATTAGAAGGTCACACTCATTGCATTCTATTTCTATATGTAGCTACTGTTTGATAATTAAATAGAGGAGTGTTCAATCTTATTGTTCCCTTACTTACCTTTCCAGTTATGTCCCCAAAAGACAGAATTGATTCATTGGCATCAAGAGGGTCATACCAATAATCCATGCAAATTGGTGTTCCTTTCAGGCCTTGGAGTTTATATTGACAAGGAAATTGTTCTTTGGACAGCAGATCATAAAAACAAATCTCTTTCCTTGTAAAAGCCACCGCTATCTAAAGAAACAATGTAGAAAGTCAGAAAGCATATCTGATGGATTTAGTGAAATCAATATGCAAAGCAGACATGCAAATCTTAGCACCAAATCAGACATAATTCCCGAAGTATTCTTAAGGGCATTACATAAGTATTGCATAGTGGCACAAATGTGTTTTGTTCTAACTTTAGACAGTAACCAAGAAAAAATATTTGCCATTGAAGTTATTTGAACATTCTTTCTTTATTCTTACTTCATACACCCACCAACTTCTAACTATGGGAACAAGATGACTAATCACAAAACAAAGACACAGAGAACTACAGGTTCACACAGTCATAACAGAAGCTTTACAAACCATGTTTTACAAAGCCAGCAGAAGCTGTCACAAAACTCAATTGATAAAAACCTGGTAAGAAGCCTTCCTAAGCCAGAATCTATTTTTAAAAGAGCAAACAAATTTTTCAATAAAATTGACAAAGCTTACCTAAACTAATCCAAGAAATAAAAGAGAAAAGATACACATTACTAAAATCATAAATAAAAGAGTGGATATTACTATCAACTTGATAGAAATAAAAAAAGGATTATAAGATGATACCATGGCCCTAGCCCAGTGATGGCGAACCTTTTGAGCTCAGCATGTCAGCATTTTAAAAAACCCTAACTTAACTCTGGTGCCGTGTCACATATAGAAATTTTTTGATATTTGCAACCATAGTAAAACAAAGACTTATATTTTTGATATTTATTTTATATATTTAAATGCCATTTAACAAAGAAAAATCAACCAAAAAAATGAGTTCGCCTGTCACCTCTGACACGCGTGTCATAGGTTCGCCATCACTGCCCTAGCCAGTTTGGTTCAGTGGATAGAGCATTGGCCTGTGGACTGAAGGGTCCCAGGTTTGATTCTGGTCAAGGGCACATACTTCGGTTGGGTTGCAGGCTCCTCCCTGGCCCAGGCCCTGGTCAGGGTGCATGCAGGAGGCAACCAATCAATGTGTTTCTCTCACATCAATATTTTTATCTGTCTTTCCCTCTCTCTTCCACTTTAAAACAATCAATGGAAAAATATCCTTGGGTAAGTGTTAAAAAAAAAAAAGAAAAAAAATACCGTGAACAAATACATGGCAACAAATAACTTCAATTAAATGAACAAATTCATAGAAATACAAAAATTACCTAAACTAACTCAAAAGACATAAAAAACTCGGCAGGCACACAATGAAAGACTAAATTAGTAATCAAAAAAAATTCTAGTCCCAAATGCTTCACTAATAAATTCCACAAACATTTAAAGAATCAACACTAATCTTTCTAAATCTCTTCCCCCCAAAAATAGAAGTGGAGGAAAGACTTCTGAAAGCATTTTATAAAAACCAATATTATCATAATACCAAACCACACAGAGGAGAAAATGTGTAGAAAAAAGAAACATAGCAACTATTCACAATGTTTGAAATTTATTTGGATCTTGGTTCAAACTAACTGTCAAACAATAAACTATTAAAAACAATAAGACGAGGAGAGACCAAGATGGCGGCATAGGTAAACACCGCAGACTGCTGCCGCAAACAACCACTTCAAAAATACAACTAAAAGACGGAACGGACATCACCCAGAACCACAGGAAGGCTGGCTGAGGAGAGACTCTTCAACTAGAAGGAAAAATAACAGCACACCGAGGCTCAGACAAACAATAAACTATTAAAAACAATAAGACAAGGAAATATGTACATGACTGGATATTTAATGATATTAATGGATTATTGCTATTTATATTAAATGTAGAGTGGTGTTTTGGTTATACTAAAAAGAAACACATTTTAAAAATACCAAATATTTGCAGATTAAATGATTGAATGTTTTGGATTTCAAAGAGGGGAGGTATAGATGAAACAAGATTGCATGTGAATTGGAAAATGGTTAAGGGTGAATATTGGTTCTTAATACTATTATTCATGCTCGTGTGTGAGTTTAAAATTTTTAAAGTGAAATTTACCATCTACTTAATATAAAATACTAACATGAATTCTTTAAGCTGCGTCCTCTCACAAACTGATTTTCCTTTCAGTATGTTACCTTGCTCGCAGGCATGGCTATAGAAAGATATTTGGAGTGAGTGGACCCTACACATCAGAGTTAAGAAACTGATTAGTACAGTGGTCAAAATCATCAAAATGAGACAAGCAGTTCCCTGTAATTGCACTCAGCTGTGCCACGCATTGTATAGCCTCTCAGTTCTGCATATAATGCAGCATGACCACAGTGGAGACAAAGCCAAGCATCTGAATCATCAGCCGTGTCATTTAAAGGCACACAAGAGAACAGCTTGGAAAACAGAGTAGCTCCCTTGGCTCTACTTGTATTCCCTCCAGGTCAGGTTAGAGGCACAAAAGAGTAATGCTCTGTTGCTGCTGGTGTTACACTTGACATTGATCTGGAACCCTGTCCCATCATGTGTCCCCTTATACAAGCAATAAATTTATGTATAAAGACTTTGTACCTTGTTTACATTTTCCAGAGAAACCAGACTTGTCACCCACAGGTGTTTAAGCTTGGTGGCATCTGACGTGATGGGGAATGTTTTTTGCAGCTTTAAATTCTCTCCCCAGATTCCTAATGAACCTTCCTGACTGATGGTCAGATAACGACTTGAATTCTTTAAGAAAATGACTTTTTGAATGGTGTCCTTGTGTTTCCCTGGGAGGAACTTAAGGTCTTTCCACTGGGGAACCGCAGTCGCCTTTGCTCGTTCGTCGTTTTCATAAAGTGTTAACAGCATAAATGAAGTCAGCTTGTCCCAGTTAATGAAGCCATCTTGGGCCACATCCACTTTGTCAAAGAACTTCCCGTATTCCTCCTTTGTGCCCCAACCAACAATCTCTGTCATCCTCTGCATAAACTCTTCTCGAGACATACAGATGGTTTGACCTGGCTCTAGGGGCTAGAAATTGGGATAAAAAGAAGACAGCAGTGAAAACATCCTAAGTACCAGAGTGTTGTGCTACACTCCACCCCCAAGGTGGATCTAATCAGTGATTCTTCCAAGATACAAAGAAAAATGTCTTTTACTTTATACTTAAGTGACTTGGGGTGGGGGAGCAAATAACTGATAGTGCTATAAACAGACATCCTCAATAACATGTGTCCCTGTAAGTGGAAGAGGGAGGCAGGAGAGTCAGAGATTAGATATGATGGTGGAAATGGGGGTCAGAGTGATGCAGGGCTATGTATTAGGGACTGTGGGCAGCTTCTAGAAATTGAAAAAGGCAAGGAAACAGATTCTCCCCTAGAGCCTATAGAAGGAAGACAAGTCTGACATCACCTTGATTTTAGCCCCATAAAACCCATTTTGAAACTTCTGACCTCTAGAACTGTGAGAGAATAAAGTTGTGTACTTTAAGCTACTAAACTCATGATAATTGGTTATAACATCCATAGTAAATTAACTCAGTGATTTACAGAAAATGGGTGAATCCCTAAAGAAAGTTTAGCACAACCAGTAAAATTATACAACAGTGGAACTTTAATTCAAGGGCAAGTAGTCCACTTCTATAAATACGCACAAAGAACAGTAAACACATATACAGTTGACTTTTGTTATTCATGTTAGTTATGTTTTATGAAGTCTCTACAAACACTAAATCAGCAGATATTCAACCATTGATTCTAGGGGAAATACAGGGTTAGGCTTCTTTGAGCCTCTGGTCACAGTATTTTCATCAACTGATCAATTCATAATTTTGTTTTATGTGTGTTTCTGTTGAAAGACACCTTATTTAATCTATATTATTAATTCACTAACATTGAATTCATGGCCAACAGCACTATAACTCATGACTGAATGAAATTTATCTAGCACAGGTATTTTCTTCATAAGGCACATCACAGCCTTCTTGCACTTAGAAACACTAGATAGCACTTCAGCACTGCTCTGTGGGGCCATATAAAGAGTGAAATAAACCAACAAAAAACACAAAATGCAAAAAACTTGGCAGTAAATACACCACAAATAGGATTCTTGTTTATGGTAAGAGAATTGAAATAAGAAGGCAGAGTACAGTATTATCTTCTTTGACCTCAGCCTGGAGTATGTACATTGGAAGTTTTTTGCTATTCTTCATATGTCTGTGAATGTTCATAAAATTGCCTTAGGTATTGATTTTGACATTACAAATAAGTTTTAGCAAGTAGGCAAATTCACAAATACAGAATTCATGAATAATAAAAATCATCCATATTTCAAGAAAGTACATAGCTTAATATTGGTAGGTTATTTAGTGTATTGAGACTCATGATGAGAGAATCTACTTTTCCTATTAGTTCAGAGCCAAAAAGTAAGGGTTGACAGTTAGCTCTGGGAGGCAGCCTATTATAGAGCAGGTCAAACAATTGTAGATTTAATCCTGACTCCGTCAGAAATTGGGGAACTGGTTGGGACGGCCCCGGTGAGGTTGTAACGGCCCCAGTGAGGTCGGGATGGACCCGGTGAGGCTGAAACGGCCCCGGTGAGGTCAGGACGGCCCTGGTTAGGTTGAAACGGCCCCGGTGAGGTCGGGACGGCCCCGTGAGGTTGAAACGGCCCCGGTGAGGTTGAAACGGCCCTGGTGAGGTTGAAACTGCCCCGGTGAGGTCGAGACGGCCCCGGTGAGGTCGGGACGGCCCGGTGAGGTTGGGACTGCTCCAGTGAGGTTGGGACAGATAATGGGGACCAGTATAGACTGATGAATAGGGGTAGATGCAGAGGCAGAGCAACATTGAACAGACTGTCAAACTACAGTGGGAAGCCTGGGGAGGGTTTGGGGGGGGGTTAAGAGATCAACCGAAGTGTAATACTCTTTGTAATACTTCAAGAAATAAAAATTATTTTAAAAAAAAGAAATTGGGGAACTATTGGGAGGCTACATCACTGCTGAACCTTAATTTCCCCATCTATAAAATGAATATGGCAATATCAGTCACAAGAAAATTGTTATAAAGATTAACTGACATATCAATAGATGCATAAAAAGTGTTTGACAAAATTCAATACCCATTCATGATAAAAATTCTCAGTAAACTAAGAATAAAAGAAAACTTCCTCAACTTGATAAATAATATCTGCAAAAAAACATACAATATGCATAATGGTGAGAAAATTTAAGTTTTTCTACTAAGATCAAGTACAAGGCAAGAATGTCCACTCTCATCATTGGTCTTCAACATCATACTGTAAGCTCACTTAATACAATAAGAAGATGCCATGGTCATCTATGTAGAATGTCTGAAAGAATCAACAAACTCCTGAAACTACTGAGTGATTACAGCAAGGTTGTAGGATATAAAACTAATATACAAAAGCCAATGGCTTTGAATAAATGGAATGAACAAGCAATGAACAAATGGAATTTGATATTAAAACCATAATACCATTTACATTACCATCCACAAAAATAAAATCCTTATGTATAAATCTAACAAAATACATATGTACAAGATATATCTGATAAAAACTACAAACTTTTGATTAAGAAATCAAGAACTAAATAAATGGAGAGTACTTGTTCAAGAACAGGAAGATTCAAAATAATCCAAAGATTCCATGAAATCCCAATCAAAATCCCAAAAACTTATTTTGTGGATAAAAAACCTGATTCTAAAGTTTATATGGAAAGGCAAAAGACCCCAACAAGCTAATAAAATATTAAAGGACAAGAACAAAGATGGAGGACTGACTGCTCAACTTCTAGACTTACTATAAAGTTATAGTAACCAAGACAGTCTAATATTGGCATAAGAATCGACAAATAGAAGACCTTATCTTCTCTAACCAAGGACACTTGAGAACAAATGGTTTATACCTCTTCTCCCTAAGCAGAGAATACATAGCTTAAATCATCATGGTTGGGGAGATAAAAAACAGAGACCCAATTAATGCCACTTGTGCTAGCTAAAACCAAGGACAGATAAAGTCAGGGGAACAAATAACAAAAACCTATTTAGAGCCAGACAGATCAAAGATAAAAGTAAAACAGTAAAGGGGACCAAAGAAAAATCCCAAACTCCCCAATTTTATTATCATGCTAAAAACATACCTGGAAAGCTGATGAATATTCTACTGAAACCCTCCCTGTGAAAAACATACCTGGAAAGCTGATGGATATTCTACTGAAACCCTCCCCTAAGATTCTCACCCACAGAAAAAAGATAAAAACTTTCAAGACAGACCCAGTGTGGTCTTGCTTGAAAGCATGCCCATATGCCTTTCCTGGCCTGAACTTTTTACGTCCTCCTAATTCTAAGAGTCTCCTGAGACTTGGAACTAGGAGAGCAATGGGCAATGGCAGCTTGTCCTGCGCTTACCCCCTGACTCTGTCTTCAAGGCCCCTTTTTTCTCTAACTTTCCAGCTAACAGCAGCCCCACCTTGGCTCACTTTTGTCACTGTGACCTCCACTTCCCAGTGAGCTAACAGCATCACTTCTTTCCTATAATGTTTCCAGGGGGCCAAAGCACAGCACCACCTAGGTTCTCTCCTGTTGCTTCTTCTACCCTAAGTCTTTCCTTTGTTTCATGTCCTCAGCTTTAAAAGTGTAGAAGCATCGAACAGATCGTCCAACCTCAGAGGGAAGGAAGGGAGGAGGAGTGGGTACGAGATCAACCAAAGGACTTGTATACATGCATATGATGAGCATAACCAATGGACACAGGCAGTAGGGGGGTGAGGGTATGTGCTGGTGGATGGGAGCAGCTGGGGAGAGGTCAATGCGGGGAAAAAAGACATATGTAATACTTTAAACAATAAAGAATTAAAAAACAAAATATCCTCATAATCACCTGGACTTGTGTTGTGAAATCTTTCCTGCATGAAGTCAAGAACCCACACACTATAGGCCAGCCTGAAGCAGACTGGCTCTGGCCCAGTCCTCATCCAGTCACAAACTGATGTTTGACAAAGGAGAAAATACAATGACAAAAAGATAATATTTTTAACAAATGCTGTTTGGATAACTGAACATCCACATGATAAAAAATGAATCTAGACAAAGACCTTATGTCCTTTACAAAAATTAATTCAAAATGAGTCACAAACCTAAATATAAAACAGAAAACAATAAAACTCCTGGAAGAGAACATAGAAGCAAACCTAGATGATCAGTGAGTGTGGTGATGACGTTTTAGATGCAATATAACAGGAGGCATGAATCATGAAAGAAAGAATTTATAATCTGGACTTCATTAAAATTGAAAACCTTCTGCTCTGTAAAATACAATGTCAAGAGAATGAGAAGACAATCATAGACTAAGAGAAAATATTTTCAAAAGATATATCTGATAAAGAACTCATTCAAAATATGAAGAATTCTTAAATTTCAACAATAAGAATAACAGCTCTATTAAAAAGTAGGCCAAAGACCTTAATATATTTCCTCAGCAGTGGCCAGATTATTATGACCACCTGACATTTGTAGGCAAATTAGCTGTACACTGCATCGTATGGAATATGGAAGCCGAAGGCCTGTTCGAACACCTTTGCTGTTTGCAGTTACCAAGATAAAACGTCTCCAATTCGCACAGGAACACAAGGATTGGATAGTCAAGCATTGGAAAAAAGTCATGTGGTCCGATGAATCACGTTTCCAGTTGCATCATGCAGATGGCAGAGTGAGAATTTGGCAGAAACAGCATGAAAGCATGCACCCCGCATGCATGAGTACAACCCTTCAAGCTGGTGGGGGCAGTGTTATGGTTTGGGGCATGTTTTCCTGGCATGATTTGGGCCCTTTAATTCGTGTGGAACAAC